AGTGAAACAATTACAATTCTGGCTCACATGCAACTCTACTTGGCCAATAGTGACACAGCAAACATTAAAAATCATTTGCAAGTCAGGATTGAGAATATACAATTCTAAATTAAATCTAAAAGGCTCTATTACACAAGTTTATCATCATGTAATTGCACTATGACAAACACACATATGGTCTTCTGACATTTAATGAGAGTAGTTTGATGAAAACAGAAATATAAAAAAATGGTCCCCTGTTGTGAACCTATACTTTAATGAACTCCAGGTCTGGGCACAACATGACAAAAGGTGAAAATGGAAATAACAATACATTTGCAATTAGTACCAAGTACATGCAGTGTGTATGCTGATCAAATATTCATCTGATTACTTGTTTCCTGGCAACAAACTGGGCAAGATGTTCTCCCAAGGCTGCCTGGCTTATGACACACACACAGAAAGAATGTTCAAACATGGAATGTTGTCTAATATCCATTTAGACACTACAAACTAGGGTATGGTATTACTAGTTTCTGATTAAAAGAGTTAATAATTTATTAAGTGTTAAGCACTTGTTAACAATTCACAAGCAACATTTTTAGGGACGTTTCAAAGAAGCTCACAATTAAAAAAGTTGAAAAAACAATGAACTGAATAATGAATGGTTACTGGTATTATTCTACTGTAAATAAAAACAGCAACACGTTCAAGATGAATAGATCTTTTCACACTTGTAATTAAACACATGATGATACATGACATGACATGTATTTATGATACAAACATGTAAATATTAACCAGTCAGGATACTGTAAAATCTGTATTAAAAGCCTATTCTATTAAAATGGTACAATGCAACAGAGGGGATGCAGCTTCTATTAGAGCACATATGAGAAATGGTGAATTTTTGGATCTCAATTGTTCAAAAAAAATGGGTGCGGCTTCTGATACAGATTTTACAGTAGTAAACTTTGGAAAACAGAGATTTCGTGGGACCAAACAAGTAAGGTCAAGAGAAAAAAAAATGTGTGTTTCCTTTTTTTTTTACCATATTGTGAAAACTTCACAAAATAGAGCCAGAAGTTGTAGATTTTAAAGAAATTTAAAACTATGCAAAACTGAGTAATGTAAACAACTTTAAACTTATTTATGATACTTGTATCTTTAAAAAAGAACAGTCCTTATATGTAAGAAAAACAAGTGAAACGGTATGTACCAAGAACAAAATATTAAAAAATACCTATCTGAAAAACATGTAATACCGGTAAGAACCACAACATTTTTTTTTTATATGGCCTGACCAAAATTTTATTTTCTGGCAATTTAGGTATTACCGGTACTTGTATGTAAGTAGTATAAACATCCCAACATTTTACCCCATAAAGCATTTTAGCTTAGTATTAAAAGAAATTCAAAAATATGAAAAAAAAAATTAAAAATGTGTGTAATGTTAGAACAATAGTACCATTCTGACTACTGGTAATACCGTATTTGCTTGAATAAAAGTGCACAAGTGTTTGAGAATAAAACCTGAATTTCATTTGGGAGATATAGATATAGGAGTGCCGTGAATGAATGTTTAGTGTCTGTACTGTATTTGGGGAAAGAGTTCCTTTTGTACCCTACCCTTCAACACTCTCCAATTTAATACTCCTCCTAATGACATCTATAGCTATCTAGAGGGGGCACATTCAATTGAATTGGGGTTGGGAGTGGAGGGCACAAAAGAAACTCTTTCCATGTAAAATTTCCCCAAAACAAAAATTTTGGCTTAAACAAACTTTGTACTACATGTATTACAGCAAATAAGGTATTCAGTATGATGTAAATACCATATGTACACTATTAGAAGCATATAAACCAAAAATTGTATTTGATTTATCAAATAAGACATATTTTGACCACTGAGCTACTAATAGTAAATACAGTATTGAAATTTGAAGTACTGTAGAATACTTTATTTTCGCTTGGAATTTATTTTCGCTGAAGGGATGATTCCGTGAAAATAAAATCCAGCGAATATACTTTTTTTCCTATATTTCACATTAAACCAATCAAAAATCAGTGAAAAAAAATTCCATACAAAACGCCCAAAAAGTCTTTTCAGCAAAAATTAATTCCAGTGAAAATAAAGTATTCCACAGTATTTGATTTTCTAAAAGTTTAATAGGTCAATAACCGTCTGAATTCTAGTTGAAACCATCTAAAAATAAATGCAGGAAAGGCATATATAAAGACAAATGTATCGAGAATTAATACTATCATTTGATAGTATTTGCAAATTAAAATTAATTAACCACCTATATGAGACTGCATAGGTTGCTTCTCGTATCATTCCAGCAACTAGACAGGGGTCAAGAGCTGTCTGAACTCGTAGCCGAAACCATCTAAAAATAGATACCATCGGTAGATGCCGAAAAGGCTTATCCGTGTGTTTAGAAAATCATCACATTGGCCACAGCTTTATGTCAATATATTGAATGTCTTTTTAAGATAATTGTGAAAATAATTATTTGATACAAGGGCGATGGAACATGGGTAATTATTAACAAACATTGGAGCTTACAATTTCTAAAACCTAGCTGTCAGTAAAACCTTTGAAATATTGCAAATGTCTGAAAACCCATAGATTCACAGCTATAGAAAAATACTCAAGTCAGAATTTATTGGATTGAATATCAGTGTTCTCAGGAGATAAAAATCAAATATTGCGGATAATTTGCATGGATGCTGATTAATTATAAAAATCTATACATATTTGCAATGGCAAATGCTCTGGGGAAAACAGAGTACATAATTAATCTAACCGCATGGGCATTAGTTATTATAAGTTACACAACTGGGTTTAATTCATAAATACAATAAATACAACTAATTGACCATGAGTTGAGTTGAGCATGCCTTGGCCACTGCTAGAAAATGCAATTATTATTGATAAAATGTACAAAAAAATCATCTTTAATTGTTTTATGCTTCATTTATAGCATGTTGACTTAATTAAATTCATGTTGCACATAATTTATGAATGATTTGATGCAGTGAATAAAATTACCCCCTATCTGGTCACGTCAATGTAAAAGTACATGATGGCGCTGGCAGAACAAGAGTAAAAGCATTAATTTTCACTGGCTTTTACAATTCACGAATTTGCTAGTGAAACAATGCGTTCAATTGTAAATAATTACAAAATTAAAACCCAGTGAATAAATTAATGCATTTACAGTACTCATTTCTCACCTTGGCATGTGTTTTTTTTATAGAGCAAATACAAGGTCAGTAGACTTCAAGTAGACCTTTTGATGTGCTCCACTGTGGAATGTTGGATTATTTCAAAGAGAAATTTTATGCAAAAGGGTGCAGTAAGGCTTACCAATATTAGGATAACAAAATTCGAAATACTAAATATGAAAAAGTGTAAATACAACCAAAATAGATATTACAGCTTTCACACGACTCATGATGCAAAAATTCAATTAAACCTGTATTTCTCTACTAGTATTTTAGGAAGTCTATTTATTGTACATGGATTTTTAGTATTTTCACGTAGTAAGTCCAAATGAGAAAGTGCAGATGAACTGAAAAACACAATGTCATTATCACACGAAAAGAGGGTCCCCTCCTTCATGTTACAAGAATAAGGGTCAATCCTAATCCAATCCTTGTTATGAGTGGGTGTGTGGTTCAAAATGGTCATCATGTTTCAATAGTTTAGGGCTCCATTTTCATGTATACATATTTTTTTAAAGTATGGGTTTAACAGAATAATGAATTTTGCTGCAACACCGTGATAATTTTCAATCTATATAGTGAATGAAAATATTGGAAGATACCCTGAAATCATTTCTATTATTAATTTATACAGCTCTTAACAACGACAGTGCAGCCAACAAAGCACTGCCAGGAGCAACTCTCACATCCACCAGTAATTGAAGGGATTCAGCACTAACATACTCTAATGCTTGTCAAATCATGGACGTACGTGGGCAATGCCTAATTTTGTCTTTCTATTATTTCTTATATTTGTCCTTTGAGAGCAGCTTGCTACTTCGACCGCGGCTTTCGCGGTGAGAGTAGCCCGTCACTGGGGTGGCGGATGGATTCGCACTGGCGGAGCGTATACCACTAGACTGATGAGATGTCTTCTGTCTAAGCATAGTCCAATCAAAGGTGTAGTCGTATTGAAAGTTCAAAGTGCGAAACAGGATACGAAATAACTGACGCAGATACATATAATCGGGTGACTCTTCAAACTTCAACCCACGGCAGTAGTTTAGATACATCGCGAACTCGGCAGGAAATCCTTTGCATAGCACTTCAACGGGGGTAGACGCCTTTTTCTCACTAATTTTTTCGTATTTCTGTTTCTTTGTAGTTGCTTTCAACCCTTGCCATGGAAGTGAAGTCCTATTAAAATACATCAGAACGTAACCAAGGGACTCCATGTCGTCTCGTCGACTCTGCTCAACGCCAACATGAGCGTGTATACTCGCATACCTCGCCGTGCCGGTCAGGTTTTTGTCCTCTCTATACGGAATGTGCTGCCTTGTGCGGCTATCGCGATATTTTTTGGCCAGTCCGAAATCTATTAAATACAGTTGATTGCAGTGTCTGCCAATACCCATGAGAAAATTGTCGGGTTTTATGTCTCTGTGTATAAAGCTTCTATTGTGCACGTACTCAACACGGTTGATCAGCTGGTCGGCTAACATCAGCACTGTTTTCATTGTAAAGCGGCGCGAACAGAAATTAAACAAATCCTCCAAACTCGGTCCCAACAAATCCATCACCAAGACGTTGAAATCTTTTTCCTGGCCATACCAGCGAATATGAGGCACTCCTACGCCACCTTGGAGTATTTTATATATCTTACTTTCATATAATAATTGCGGATGTCTGGCTTTCTGTGACTCGAGCTTTACGCCGACTTCTTCGCCATTCGTACTGTTGACACCCAAGTAAATGTCGCCGAACGATCCACTGCCGATCTTGCGTACCAATTTGTACTTTCCACCGACTATGAACTCTCCGTTCGATTTTGACCCCATAAGACTAGACATGATGGCTCGGCTGTGATTTGAAAAGTAACAAAAACACTATAGAAGCCAGTGGACGTCGTTGCTTTGCCGACTACTTTATAAAATGTGACACACGGAAAATATCATCTGCGCATGTCACATGTCTGCATAAATTTGCATATTTATTTTTTTGATTTTTTGCTCGATTGTACAATGGAACAAAGAAATATTTACAGAAAAAAAAAACAATTAATTAGTAAATAGGTTTTAGTATTTAGTAAATGCATGTTAGGTGCAAAGGTGAGTAAACCACGGTTACTGGTAACCGTGGGTATACACACTGTAAACGTGTTCGACACTAATTGTATATGTCAGGGGAATCTCGAAACTAACACAATCAGCTGGCGTGCAAATGATAGGCAAATTATAAATGCGGCTTATTTACCGATATACTGTATATTAACTAATCATCATCAAATTCAGGGCCAATCAGCGACGGCCGATAAATTCTGTTTCAAATACCCCGGGAAAGTGTTCTCGCTTGGCATTAAAATGGCTTTTTTTGTTTTTCTGCAGGGGGAGGGGTATTCGAACAAAAAAATTGTGGCAAAACTTTTGGAGTAAGGAGTGTATGTTTTTACTGTATAATCAAGTTAATTTTTTGTCATTTCTGGAATAGTTACGTTTACTACTAAGGGTTGAATCCTATTTTACATGTCTGTCTGTGCTAGTGACACACACAGAATAATTATAATACTCGTATCAGTTTTATGTTATATTCGATCAGGGAGCTGTATAGAAATCAAGAACATTTTCCTGGCGGCGATGATCATACGGGACAAAGGAATCGTACACAATGGTTTTATAAGGGATTACAGTCTTTAAAACAAAGGGCGTTAACTGGTATTAGAATTGGTCCAGTCTGCTTCTCATTACAGCTCCCTGGTGCGATTAACTATCATGATACAAACTTGTTATTTCGTGAATGTATGCAGAATAATTACACTGTCTGACCATGAGGGCTGGAGCATTTTCTTGATAATTTACTCTCCTACAAGATACAGGAGTGCGTTGTTGTCTGAAATAGGCCAGTTTAAGGGCGGAAGTACAGATATTTATTTATTTATGCTAAATCACGATTCAACGACCCGTCAGTCACTCAAAAGATCACCGACAGTGCCACAAACATGTGTGAAAATACAGTGCGTTAGAAAATTGTGTACCATGCCAGACTCAGAGTAAAGTCACTATTCATATAATTAACCGAAATCTGTCAACTGAAAACCAAGTCGTTCTGCGAACGTGTAAATGATCTTATGATTTGATGATCGAACGGACCTAAAAGAAAGCCACCGTGATATATTATTGACGAATAAAACGAAGTATGCAAAGAAAAAGGGAATCAACTGGAATGTGAAATGGAGGACGTAAAAGGCTGAATGATGCGCGATAAATTACTTCTTTTTTGAGTGATCGAAGGAGGAATCTGGGAAGCCACAACCTCAACGTTTAAATACAACAACATGGAGACGACCAAATCTCATCTAAATAATGTTTCAGACACAATTGCGTTGACAAAAGTGACCCTACACAAGGCTATATTATAGTATAGCATATTTTATTTGACACAAAATAATGCATGGAAAATACATCATCTATGGCCTTTATATATAATGCGATATGAAAACCAACGGTCAAGTCAAGTCGCTAACGTTAAAATTTGTCATGTGACGGAGACCGTAGAAAATATGACGCACGACGTACACCAGTGTGAGTGTGGTTAAGTGACACCTAAATTCATCAGTGAGAGGCCGTCGGAGGGGTGTTTGGCATGATTTCACCTAGAGCATCCGTTAAGTTTCCATCTTGTACCCTAATTTCTGAGGTTCAGTTGACAAAACTGGAATTCAATCGATGACGCCTTTAAATGGAGACCTTGACGCAACCCATTTTGACAGTATTATAACGGTTTCTATGACAGACATATTATGCCAGATCTCAAATTGTAATCTGGTGACATAAGCTGAAAAATTATATATAATGTATGGTGTGTACTTTTTGTTGTACTTTTTGTTTTGTTTTAAAAAGTGTCAAAAATGCAATTTTTCTTTATCATTGTGCGCTATGGAATTGTTCTAAAAATAGCAATTTTTGAAAAATATTAGGACAAGTTTTTTAAAATACCAAAAATGCTATTTCAAGTTGCGATGGAACATTAGCTTCATAATTTTACATAATAAACAAATGAACATTGTCATGCGATTTATGGCCAACTTTTTCAAAAGATTATGAGCAGGTTTCTACCTTAATGTACAACCTCAGTTTTGTTATACCTCTATATATAGGGACTGTACATATACATTATATATAGTATGCTTTCATTGTCCGCATTTCGTCGGTCGCCGTTACAAATTATACTATACTGATTACACAGGAAATGTTTTATTAAAAATAAAAATCGAAAAAAAAATCGGGCGTTAGTTATAGCTATTTCCGTTTAAACACTATATCTGAATCATTAAACTTAGAAGGCAGCGACTTCGAAGTTATTAGAGCCCATCGCTCGCGCGAACAAACGCCCTCAGCCGTTCGTCGGGACAAAACATTGCAGCAAGCGAGAAAGTTATTGAAGGAAACCAATGTATGTGTCTCCTAGCAGTTTACACCTAAAGTATGAGAAGCGAAAGAAACTCGTCACAAGAAAGCAAGAGACGATGGTAAAGATGGTAAACGAGCCTTAAAAGGAAGCAGAGGTCTCTGCCTAATATCACATCCCTGTGAGTCGTTTGAATTATTTTTAGACTTGTCTTTTGACTTTTTTTTTTTCAATTTCCAACTGACATGTATGTGATCTCTTGTAATAGTTTATCTTTTTCCGTGCAATCCCCTTCAGGCCCTGAGCTAAAATTATTCATTTACACACAGTTTAATTACAGGGCATATAATTTGTCAAATTCTACTATATTTGTACAACTTATCTCCTCCCAACCGCATTCTGATGTTAACAGCATTAAAATAAACTAGATAACAACACCCTACCCTCCGCCATGACGTTAAAAACAATAAACAACATACAAACGAGTTTCATCAATGTAGTTGGAATGTGTCAAGTGCAACATATACCGTTTGAAAACTTCAGCATCTTCCAAAATAGTTCAGTAAGAGTGCTGTGCGCACGCACCGTCTCCCACCTATGGTTAGATCATGGGGGCAGCCATAATACTTTCTGCAATATCGGACCACGCAACACCACTGGCCAACCTACAACACAGGTTAACAGCTACAACTTCTCTGAGGAGATCATTTAGTTGGAGATGACATTTTCTGAAAAAAAAAAGCTATATAAAACTATCGAGATATTTAAATAAATGATTCACGATAAAAAACAGTTTTTGCCGGATATTTCATTATTAGCGGGTCGACACTAACACGCGTCTTCCGTATTTGTAACTGAAGCAACTGTGTAACTATTTGTTTCATTGTTGCGAGTCGGTGTTTTTACCAATCACGAGGACATGATGGCGATGATACCGTGATAATCACCCCGCAAACGACGACCAAAAAAACGATGATCACAAATTTGAAAAAAAAAAAAAAAACTACTCACAGCGTATTCTCTTGCTATATTACGGCAGCTAGATTACGCCTACAACCAAATAATAACACGTGAATATAAATGTAAGAAAAATAGGCAAAATGCTACAAGTTTTACATGAACGGCAAAACACTCACCTACTCGGAACGAACGTCAGCGCTGGAACGCCGCGTATGCGTTCCCGTGCACGTCACAATTTTAACCTCTCGTTTATGTTGTTAATCTTCAAATTAAAATAAATTAAAGCAGTCAGTGTATAAGTGGCTAACACCACGAAACATCCGGGAGTTGTTTCGGGCTATGCCCTGACCCATCAGTGTTTCTTACACGTACTCTATGGTGCAGTATATTTTACAAGACCGTTTTGGTATTATAGTCTAGTTATTATATATGTATTATCAGAGGTACATTACTTGGAGTTTGCAACGCGCATAGTACTGTATGGTGACATCATGCTAAGATCCCATTCAAGTCTCATCTCGTAGATAGCGAGACTGATGCTACGACCCTCTGACATGAAATAGGCGGTTAGTAATAATCAATAAAACATGTATAATAAAAAATGTAATACATCGAAAATGTACAGAAAATATAGTTATCGCAATCCGTCATATCGTGAAAATCTATTTTGATCCACCTGGACATCCCAGTATCCTAGTTACCTCGGGCATTCGCATTTTTCTGAGTTGGAACGCTTATGCGGGAGCGAGATTGAAACGGGATTTTGGTATCATGTCACCGTAGTTGCAAACCCCTAGTGATGTACCTCTGGTATTATGTAAGCACTCTGAATGTTATGGAATACCTAAACCTTCTGATAAAACAAATACATACTACCACTACGTTTTGAAGTAACATATCGCATTCATATGCCACAACATAGTCCTGAAATACAATTGAGAGGGACTCTAACAGCCACAACCGTTGTACCCAGGTCCTAGAATGCAACACACGATCAATTCGTGTCATTTACATGTTTAATACGTAGGCACAAAAAACAGTCGAATAAACAAGAAATCACCCAACATGGTATAGCTTTTTTTTTTTTTTTTTTTTTCAATGGCTTTTATATTTGATATTATTTTTGTATATCAATCACTATAGTTTGCTGTAATACTGAGCCAAATCTATAGTCGCTCTATATATTTCGAGTCTCTGTCCCGCGAGTACACGGCCGTTCCTCTTTGTTATCACATGTACGCCCTCAACGGTATAGTTTTTATTATATTCTGCGGCGCCCAAGGCAGAGTCAAAGTCAGCGACAGGAGACTGGAGCATGCTAGATCAAATTTACTTTTGGGGTTCAAATCGTGTTGTTAAGCACTTGGCGTTCTGTCATGTGACATGGAATACATTTATGGGAATTCGCATGGTAAATGAGATTTTTTTTCCACTAGATATTTTATTTGGAGCGTACACAATGCATGCCAACAAACGGGAATACAATCCAAGCAGACAAATTATAATATCTGCACATGCGTAGAAGGAATACGGTGCCCAGCCATATTACCCTATACAAGGTTGTTTTGGTTCAGTATAACATGACAAATTTACAGTAAATCATAACAATAAATTAATAATAATAATAAAAAGCGTGGTTGGAAAACTGGTGACACGATCTGCATGTTTCCAAGCTTCCATGATTTGCAGGAACGTACTCAGGCTAAATTTAACAGCTCTATTAGTTGTGTGAGCTTATAGGAAACACATAGGTACAATAAGCTTTACTACTAGTCAGACCATGCTCGTTTACATATGTATACAACTATATAGGCGATGGTAATTTAAACTGACTAAGTTGGGTGTCCAGTTCTTCATATCTTTATCATAAACATGCCACAGGTCACTGGCAGAGCTGGTCACAAATGTAATCGGAATCTGAGATGAGCACATTGCGCATACCCTTCTGCGCATGACGCTTACAAATGCGTCACCGTCAAGCCCCATTCATTGTGTGATCAACGCGTTTGGAATCACACGCCAGTGGCGGAAACACCTAGACCATCAGGACGCGAACGAGTTATTCTGCCTTATATTAGAGCAGGGAGCTGTAATTAGAGCGACTTAGTTTGGCATTCGGGCTGTTGGTTGAAAATGGGCACGTTTGAAGGCCATGCACTTCCTGGTAGTTTCTTCCTCGCCTTTGGCGTCTGGTGGTGCATGAAATATTCGTACCGTCTTATTCGTAAGAATTCTAATGTTTCCCGGCAGAAAAATGGTTCGACTCCCAACAACAAATGGGGAAGACGACTCGGAAAATGCCATGGATTATCCGCGGAGCTTGTGGAAGGAATCGTCGTTGTTATGTTCACTATTGCTGGCTTTATTCTCCGAACAATCTTGGCCGTATAAAAAATGGGCAATGTTTGACAAGAATGACCCCGGCAGACGTTTTGTTCATTCCGCTGAATGGCAACACTGCACAATGTACACGTTCTTTGGAGTTGCAGGGGCGGTGCAGATATTAGCGCGTACTTGTGTGTGTGGGTTGAAAGAATTCGAAAAATTCTTCCTTGCGCTAGCTTATTTCGTGGAGGGCTTGCTGTTTTATTTCCACGTTCATGGCCGGACACCTCTGGACATATCCGTGCACTACATGCTAGTTATCGCAGTAATGTTGGCCGCCGCTGTCACAGTTGCCGAGATTTGGAAAGGCGATGACCCACTTCTACCGTTCATTCGGACCGGCCTAACCATCACGCAAGGTACGTGGTTTTGGCAAGTCGGCTTTATGCTGTACCCACCGAACGGCGTTCAGTGGGACGAAGATAGTCACTCTAATATCATGTTCGTAACAATGGCGTTCTGTTGGCACATCGTGGCCTGTATACTCGTGATGGCAGGCGTTTATGGCATTGTGTCTCTCTGTCTGCGCTCCAAAGGAGTCTACCTTGTCCCGTACAAACAGGTTGAGGATGAATACCAGGTTGGATTAATGAGCTTGGATGATAAAGGATCAAGCGATAATGAATAATCTGCGAAATTTCATAAATTTGTAACTGTATTCGCATGTCTTAATGATACAAACTGTTGATGCCTGTGAAACAACGTTCACTATATATTTATTTGATAAATGTGGCATATATCAATAAACAATCTGGGGCCGGGTAGGGTTTAAAAACGTTCTGGCCTAGAACAGGATGAGTATAGAACAAATCGTCATGTATTTTTTGTCTCGACAGTCATGTCATCGCTTCTGAAATTTGAAATGTAATTTCACAGAATCTCTCTCGTTTACCGATTTATATAAATGTATATGGTTGGGCTGTGTAAGCGGGTGGGGTGGGCGGAGCGGGGCTGGGTGTGGGTGGTGAAGTGTGCTAGTAATTGTACAGATACCGTGGTAAAATTCACTCCATTCCATCACCACACCTTGTCTATATACTTAAATTGAGATTGTGTCACTGTGTTGTGTGTCACCTTAAACTCTACAATTACATCGACACACTTTTAAATCGTAGGAGGTGAGCCCAGTCCCTAGCATATTTTAAAATAGTTAGTTCATTTGTAATAAAGCCTTGTCACGTAGTAGCATATCACAAATAAAAAATAGCTGTTCTAACGAAACGTATTGCTGCTATATTTTTCTTTTATAATACAACAATAACGTAATATAACGGTTTGTGTAATTATTTATTTAAAGGCTATTCCCTCGATGATTCTTCAGTAATTCCCCCTCAAAATAATAAAATTGTCATTCAAATATTTTGAAAGAAAATTACATGCATAATATTTATTACAATTAATATATATTCTATTACGTCAAACGTATATAGCGCGACTATCGCGTATTCATTTTATCGCCGTATATTATAACCGGCATATTTAGACGTTGAGGCCACCGACGGGAAATTCCATGTATCTTGCTGTCAAATGCGTTAACGAACCTTACGAAGATTGTGAGTATATTCATTGTCGTAATTGTACTTCGAATTGTCAAGGCCAATTAACTACATTCAATGTGTAATTTGACGTATTAATAATTTTTGATTGAATATATTAAATTGTGAATAATTTAGCGGAGTAACCCGTGTGCATATTAATGCAGCTAGCGTTCAATTGACATGTGTTTCTTTAATGTTTAATTCACAACGTCGACGTGCTCGTCACGGAACCTTTTTAGTTGTTTCGTGGTTGGTACATGTAGTACTGAAATGACCTTTCTAGAGGTTTGTGTCGCCGTATTATTCTTTCTTTAGATTTGTCAAATAACGCTGTCCACCGTTCTCCCAGGGACCACGTCCCACACAATACGATGCGATTTTTATAACAACGGTTCTTCTACAACAGTGTATACGAGTGTTGCCGTTAAATGGCCGTAAACCGTTCCATTTCCTTCAGGTTAATATTCGTCAGGGTGTCTATCGTACAACAAACACGCAAGTCGGACCCCGCCCAACGTAAATGTAAACATTGACGTCTTTACATGAACTCGGTCATAAACCCACAAACCCCAGCGACCATAATATTTACACTGTCCATAATAAGATAAAAACTCGTATCGTATTACCCATCAAGTCGTTCACTACAGTACCTTCAAACTCGACCAGTGCACCATCCTCGCCCCCAACAATGATCATCTATGAACAATACAAACTAAACAGCACTCTGAGTGGACACACAGTTTAAGTCTTACGGTTGTCAAGCAAGATCTTTGAAACACGTAGTCCCACATACAGAAATTTGATGTCCGTGGCAAAGTACTGCTCATGTAATTTGCACTTAACAAATCTGGTTATACCGGCGACATCCAATGTCTGAACCCGTACTGGTCTCCCGACAGAAGACACAGACCACTAAAACACCGCTATCCCAAAAGCGCAAACGTCTCTGTTTTTTTTTTTTTAATTTAACTCGGTAGTGTGTTCATTAGACTAGAGTACTAGTAGTTTTCAACGGTGAATTAATATTGGTATCTCGAAAATAACTAATAACATTAATGATATGAAAATTGAGTACACGTATGGGTTAAATTAAAAGAAAACACACACAAATAATGTATATTTAGGAAAATCATCTTTTTGATTAACTGGTGCCATCTCTAAATACAGATTTTACTCATTACAATAGTCGAAATAAAAACAGTTTACTTTGGACCGCGCCCTCTTGGGGTGTACACCGTCACCACTATCGTCGAAGCATTGGGTCATGGCACCGTCCCTCAGGGACGGTGGTCATGGGAACAACAAAAAAAACAGCTTGCTGTTAGGTTAAGTAACTGACAATGCAATGCACCACGCACTATAAGCATATATCAAGTTATGCAAAACACCAGACCTCATCAAACCACCCTGTAAAGAAACTGAATGAGCAGCTGCAGAATCCAATTGTGTTGCCAACAATCAGTTGCACAAATAATGACGCGCGTAAATGTTGAGCGGCAGTACAACTAGCTGTGGGTTGATATATTTACTTGTGACCGTTTTTGTCATTTGTGGCACTTTCACTGCGACTCGGAGTTTTTCATAATTTGTCGAGACTTTATACTACTTTCATTACTAACAGACAAAATATTCCAATCCTGATTTTTGCTAGGATTTACACGGCGGCGTTTGATCGGATCAAACCGTGCTCCTCTCGCCAATTACCAGGAGATTATTTTGTGCGTTTACAAACTTATGGCCGAACGTGGTCCGAAGTTCGGCCCGTTTTGTTTAGACCCGAACTGAAATAACGACCTTGGCATCGTGTGTCTCGTTTACACTGTTTGAGCCACGTCGGGGCTCAGTCCTATCGGAGTTTATCCGAGGGTTTATTGGCGGCTCGAGCTGAATGCGTTCACATGGCCATTTTTTCTGGACGTATAAACTAGTATATCAAGTAACAATGATGTGATGGTATTAAGGTAGCGAGACTATTATTTGTGTTGAAAATTACGATTTTCACATTTATTTATTAATTGATGAAATGCACTATAAACTTTCATATGATAAAGTCAACATAACATAGAATGTCATGTAAGTTGGTTAAAATGTAGATTTTCTGAAGGGAAGCAAGGCAGCCTCAGTAGTGTTTTCCAAAATCAACAACACAGGTTTAATCTGTGTGCCTATAAGTTTCAAAGATAAACTCAAGACAAAGCGATGTTAGGATGTGTTATCAGTAGCTATCTGACACACAATGAGTGTTTCCAAACATTTGAGTGGTTTGTCCCCGCCCCTGTTTATTTCACAGATTAGTCATTTGCATATGAATGTGTCAGACACAAAGTCACACAGCCACTGAAAAAAAATCATTGATTTTGGTGTTTTCATATGCCGAATTTATCCAATTATAGCTATCCCATTCCTTTATTTTTTTGGTTTCCAATAACCTTACACATTTGGATGTCCCTACACATGTTAAAACAGACCTTGATGGGAAAACAAATTGATTGTGCCGATAAACAAGCTTGAAAATCTTTGCTGTTACTTCATGGACGTTTTCTAGGAGTTTATGTTTTTCCAAATACAAGGTCTTTAACAAAAAATAACTTATACTTATTGTCGTTGGATTAACACCATATTTTCACAGCTTTAAGCACAGTCCCTCAACACCATTTGTTGAGGGACTGTGCTTTAAGGTGACAATGAGAGGAACTTGAATGTGTCCAGACAAACTATTTCATCGATTATTTACCAACGAGTTGTGGTTTGAGTTGGGGGCAATGCGACTAAAACAGTAATTGAAATTCAGCACACTATTTTTTTTAAAACGCGTTGCTTGAATAAAACTGACCAGACACATTCAATTTACCAGACTATTGAACAACTAGGAAAAGTGAAAAAAATACTTCTTATCGCCAGCATAAATGCGTAATTATTTTTTTTACAGAAAAAGTAATTCTTCACCTTTGATTGAGTAACGCGTCGTAGAATGCAGATACGGGCATGCAAAATACACTTGTGAAAAGCTTGAAGTCTGGCGATTCTAAACATATATACTTTCCCTGGTCTATTTGTAGTCATTTAGTCACAATTAGAAGATGAAAACAAGTTTGCAAATAAAAGTCCCGCTAGATCAAAACTATTTGCGACGAGGTTTCAATACAAATTACGGCAACGTTTGCGTATTTATTTAGGATTCTTCGAAATTCGATTCAGCTCAGTTATTCTTTGCATTATGTCTTCCACATTCTCGAGCAAGTGACTCGCGTGATATTTGCGACTTGGTCATACTGGCACGGTATTGTCTTTGAATGTTTATTAAAATTTTCAGTTTTGAAATAGGTTAAATCGAATATTGTCTCATGCTGCCAAAGAAGGGTCATTGTCCGAAACGTCTAGCTATTTTGAATAGTTATTTAGGACACTAATTACTAAAAACTGCCTACGGGTTATACATCTTCCAACGATGGATCTTTTGACATTTAAAAACAATATTTGCAACTTCAATTCCAATTCATGGGTATTTTTTTTTGATAATTTCACATTCAAGCCAGAGCCGAAATTATTGTCAATAGTTTGTGGTGGGAATGTACGTTCTTATTTGACGGTTAGCAATAATTTAATTTTACTGTTACGCGGCTGTCGGGGACGGAATGAACAGCATTAGTTACTAGTATTTGTTTTCCTTCTCTCAAAGTGTAGTCGATTTCGTATTTATGGACGAGATTAGAAAGTTGTCCATTTTCAACATTTTTAGCATAACCATCGGATATTCAAATTCACACACGCAACATTCAAACAACCTTGCCACTTCAGGGCTATGCATGAACATATGCTCAGAGGGAGAATAAATCGTTATTTGAGTAAAACAAGTGTTTTATTTACTAATACAAGTACTAATTACTAATATGTCTGTTGCACATTGCATTATATTGTTATTTTCATCATGAAATATAAACGTGAAATTACTAGTAAGTCGCATCGAGCATGGGATTTTTTTCAGCACATCACTGCATCTTGATGAATCCGTCGGCAAGGGCGCAATAACTATCTCCAACCATATCTGGCAAGAGCTCTCCTGTATTGGTAACACAACAAATGAAATGCG